TTCAGGAGGAATCTACAACTTTACCACAGGGAAAGAAGGTACAAGAGGCATTTAATACCATGTGAATGAGGGCAGATTTTGAAGGTTCACGTCTGGGTATCTGAAATTGTTGAAATTGTACTCAGCTACAATAATTCACCAGGTCCTGGGCAAAGGCTAAAAAGCCCATGGAGTGGTGAGCTTTAATTCTTGGGTTTGGAAAGGTGGCATTAGCCACCAAATGTAGATTTAGAATCATGTTAATCTCGTTTGCCCAAATACCCTCTGATATTGGATTGGTGTCTCCCCACAGAGTGAACTGATGATGGCAAATCTAATGTTAGGAAGAAAGATGTCGTCTCTTGCTGTGTTTAAAGTGAAGAGGGTTACCCTGCCAGGAATGAGAAAGTGCAGGGCGGGGAGGAACCAGAGAAGCACATTTATGTGTAGATGCTGCCATCTGGCGGCTCCTTCTGGTATATGCATGGCTTTACCGCAGCTGGGGCAGGCAGCCACAGGGGAGGAATAGGAGGACTGAAATGCCAGGAGAAAACCAATCCCCAGCCAGGGGTGTGTTCCTCACAGAAGGGAGTAATCCCAACAGCCAAAAGGACAAGTCCCACTAGAGCAGAGAGGAGCAAGATTCCTAGTAGGGAGTACAGAGCTTACACAGGACCCTGCTTCTTCTGAAAAGGACCCATCATCTCCCAGAGGCTCGCGTGAACACACCTCCTTTTTCTCTTTTCCTGGTGGCAAGCATCCTGTGAACCTCAGGAGGGACAGATTTTGTCCTTGGAAAGTGGGCCCATCATGTCTGGCCCTGGAATCTGAACACCCTCACGGTGTCTAGGACCTAGAAGGCGTCCTCCCATCTAGGGAGTAACAGTTGGCGTGTGAGTTTTCTTTCCAAGTTCTTAGAAGAACGGAGTCAGCCAGGTGGCTGCACACACCTCTAATCCCAGCCAATCAGGGGCAGAAGCAGGAGGACCACCGGGTGGTGGCCAGGCTAGCAATTTAGCGAGACCCTGACTGTAAAGAAATAAAAGGGCCGAGGTTGTAGCTCAGTGGTAAAATGCTCCTGGATTGGATCCCCTGAGCCGCATAGATGAACGAGGTCGCCTGGGTGAATGTGTGGAGCAGTTGTGGGCTGGAGTCGGGAGCTGGGAGGACTTGACTTCTGAGCTCCAAAGGGCCTTTGGCACCTGTTCCAAGTTGATTACCTATATGATCACCTCTTGTATCTTAGGGTCAGTGACAAGTTCTGAGATCACAAAGGGTCTCCCCTACAGTATTTCACAGTGGCTCAGTTTGAAGTTTTGGGGTGACTCTGATTCTTCACAGGCCCGCCTATAGGCCAAGGCTGTCACTAGGGTTTGGGGATTTTTTTCTTTTTTGCACAATTTTACCAAGGTGCTTTTCATCCCTTGATTGTCCCTTTCCACTTCGTCTGACAATTGAGTGAGCCGTGGGGTGTAAAAATGTAAGTGGTGCCCAATACCCACGAGGCCTCATGTGTCACTTTGGAGACTGGGGCCCCAGAATCACTCTGGAGTGACCTGGGGATCCAAACTGAGGGATGGTTTCCTTTCGTAGAGCTTTAGTGACCTGTTGGGTGGGATATGCTGCTATCTACCTAGAAAAGGAGTCACCCAAACCCAGAAGGTGTTTATTCCTTGCCATGGGGGAAGGGGTCTGGAAGAAGTCTACCTGCCAGTAATCCCTGGGGAATCACCCCATTACTGCAGAAGGTTACATAAAGGGGGATGTTTGGCTGCCCACACCCCACCTGGAGGCCCTTTCTCAGGTGTGGGGCCAGCTCTTGTGACCTCTCAGTAGCAGACATGAAGTCTTTCCCTGCAGAGGCCTGAGTGCCAAAGTCATCAGAGCCTCCCTCCCTAAGTGGCCCAAGTCCTGGTTCCCTTTAATAATTTCCCACTGGTCAGCCCGAGGCAGTCATGTTTTATGACCTCCTTTTTAACTCCACAGCTGTCTTCTGCTGCTTCTGTCCCCATTGTTTCCCCATTTCCTCAACCAGCTTGTCCCTCTGAACCCTGAGTCCAGAAATTTTTAAAGCTTTGTGCCCAGTATGTAGGGGGAGGGGGACTCAGAGGTTCACAATCTGTAGAAGCCCACATAAAAGTCGTTTTTTCCTACTGTACTGGGCACGGGACCCAGGCCTGAATACAAAAATAAACCAAGGACTCGGTGAATTCAGAGCCTGGGAAAGGGAGAGTTCCCTTTCCTTCCCTGCACCAGAGCGGTTTCCAAGGAACCTAAGTCGCACCATTCACTCTCATGTTTTGGATTGTAAAGGACTTTCCCAAGGGTCTAACTGCTTTTCTTTCAAACGTAAACACCCTGTGAAGTCTCCAGGCCAGGCCAGAGGCTGGGAGCTGGTCCCTCTAGCCTGAAAACTCTTCTCTAAGAACAGTTATGGTGAGGGTCTCTGGAGAACTTAATTAAGGTGTTCTGTGGAGGAGGGGGTGCCACTGCATGACCAAAACACTTTCCAATTTTAGAGGAAAAGTTTATTCCAGGATCACATTTTCAGAGGTCTCAGTCCACAGACATTCCTTCGCCTCCGTTCCTTGGGGCACAAGGTGCCTTAGAACATCCCAGTGTGGCTGTGGAAAACAGCTGGGAACATGGCACCCGGGAGAGAGAGCTCAGCTCAACAGGGACAAAATGTCAACCCTAAACCTCACCCCAAGGATCCATTTCCTCCGGCCACACCCACCTGCCTGCAGGTACCACTCGTCGAATCCCTACTAGGGGATTGGTTCACTGACTGGGTCAAGGCTCTCACAGCCCAATCATTTCACCTCTAAATCTTCATTGTCTCACACGGGAGCTTTTGGGGGACACCCACATCTGAACTATGACGTCAATACTGACAGTCAGTGTTGACATTGACCCATTGGTCTTTGCCCAGTGGCAGAG